GATCCCAGGACGCTGGGATCATGACCTGAGCTGAAGGCAGACGCTTAACGACTGAGCCACCCAGGTGCCCCTACACATAGTTTTTGAAAAGCAGATAGCTTTTTTTATAATTTGATCTTCCATGGTAACTCCGTTGAAATAGCAAATGTAAATTATGTTCACTTAACTGAAAGATAATACCAGCCTTGAATGCACTTTGAGCAAACTTAGATTTAATTTTTCTATTACACACACTGTTGATTTGCAACCATAAAGAAAGATCACCATTAGAACATTCTTTCCTGTGTTCTGTTTTATTTTTGTGTGTAGTACTAAACTATTAATATGGTCCTCGAAACAGACTGAGAATTTAATGAAACAAATTATTCTTTCTTGGTTAAAACTTAGCTATCAATGTATACCTAGTTCCACAGAATTAAAACAAATCAGTCCATGACAACCTAAAATAAAATATTATTCTACGAATCCATTTCAGCATCAACAGAAATAACGTACTTAAAGTGCATCAGTGAAATTGTTTTCTTTTTCCTTTTCCCTGTTTTTGTCCTGATCAATACTTGCCTGAACAGGTACTAGAATCCAAGGCTATTCCTCTTTTGTCTTTCTTCCCATTCACATTTCTGTTAAAAATATTTAGGAAACTTATCTTTAAAGGTTTTAGTCTGTGTTTGAAAAATCTAATCGCTTAACATCTTAGAATTCAAATATGTAGGCAAAGCTTCCAGTGGGTAACGTAAAACTCTTCAGAAGAGGTTAAGGGTAAATTCTGGCTAACCTACAACAACAGATAAGCCTTGTCTCTCTTTCTCCATAAATGTCAGGATTAAACCTTTATAGAACCTAACACACCACTCCAATAATGACCGCAGTGCAAGCAAGACCAAACAAGGTCTACAAAACCACTTCCTTCCGAACCCTAGCTACCTTCATCTCAGATCCTTCAAAGACTTCCTGCTTACCCTGGCTTTTGGTAGGATACCCTTGTCAAGCTGGCTTCCTGACTGCTTTTATTCGTAAATGTGATCTTAATTAAGGAGATGAAATCACTTCCACATGGAAGCCATGCGGCTTAAAACGTCTTCCCACGAGAAAGGAGAGCGCGCATACACTGGTTGCTGTGTGTGAGCATGGCGCAGGAGGTCTCTTTCATTTCGTCTCTGCTCCTTTCACACGTAACTGCCATCCACTGATTGCTGAATGCTGCTGATTTTGCCACCATGCTGGCTTTCCCTAAAAGCAAGTGGCCGCAATTTGTCACATGTCAGAGCTATAATAAAAGCATTCCCATTTCTCTGTGGGAAGGATTTCAAAACCCTTTTATGATTTAGTTATTTTTCAGAAAATGCACTCAAATGCTCAATCTTACTATATGTTGCTTAAGCAAATTCCTCTAAGTAATTGTACAAACAAGTGCAAACCCTCAAAACCCTAGAAGAGAAAGAAACAGAATATCCACCTATTCTGGGACCCTCGCCCTCATGTTGGATCATCGCTCTACTGTTGGACATTATGTTTTATGGTATGTTTGGGTCTTTTTTTGGCATCATTGCTAACTTCTGATAAACATCTTTGCACATAAATCTTTTTTAAATTTAAATTTTAGTTACTGAACATACAGTGCAATATTGGTTTTTGGAGTAGAATTCAGTGATTCATCATTTACATACAACACCCAGTGCTCATCACAAGTGCCCTCCTTAATACCCATCACCCACACACCTCCATCCATCACCCTCAATTTGTTCTCCATTGTTAATTATCTCTTATGGTTTGTATCCCTCTCTTCTTTTTTTCTTTTCCCCCTTCCCATATGTTCATGTTTTCTTTCGTAAATTCCACATATGGGTGAGATCATATGGTATTTGTCTTTCTCTGACTGATTTATTTCGCTTAGCATAATACACTCTAGCTCCATCCACGTTGTTGCAAACGGCAAGATTTCATTCTTTTTGATGGCTGAGTAATATTCCAGCGTACAAACACACACACACACACACACACACACACACACACACCTTTCCTATCCATTCAACAGTCGATGGACAATTGGGCTTTCTCCATAGTTTGGCTATTGTTGATAATGTTGCTGCAAACAATGGGGTGCATGTTCCCCCTTCAAATCTATATTTTTATATCTTTTGGGTAAATACCTAGTAGTGCAATTGCTAGATCATAGAGTAGTTCTATTTTTAACTTTTTGAGGAACCTCCATATTGTTCTCCAGCGTAGCTGCACCAGTTTGCATTCCCATCAACAGTGCAAGACAGTTCTCCTTTCTCCACATCCTTGCCAACACCTGTTGTTTCTTGTGTTGTTAAATTTAGCCATTCTGACTGGTGTGAGGTGGTATTTCATTGTGGTTTTGATTTGTATTTCCCTGATGATGAGTGATGTTGAGCACCTTTTTATGTGTCTGTTAGCCAAGTGGATGTCTTCTTTGGAAAACTGTCTATTCATGTCTTGTGCCCATTTCTTAACTGGATTGTTTATTGGGTGTTGAGTTTGAGAAGTTCTTTGTAGATTTTGGATACTAACCATTTATCAGATATGTTTCCAAATATCGTCTATTCCGTAGGCTGCCTTTTAGCTTTGCTGATTGTTTCCATTGCTGTACAGAAGCTTTTTATCTTGATGAAGTCCCAACAGTTCGACGGGTCTAGTAAAAAGTTGTTACAGCTGAGGTCAATGAGGTTGCTGCCTGTGTTCTCCTTTAGGATTTTGATGGTTTCCTGTCTCACATTTAGGTCTTCCATTCATTTTTAATCTATTTTTGTGTATGGTATAAGAAAGTGGTCAAGTTTCATTCTTCTGCATGTGTCTGTCCGGTTTTCCCAACACTATTTGTTGAAGAGACTGTCCTTCTTCCATTGGATATTCTTTCCTGCTTTGTCGAAGATTAGTTGACCACAGAGTTGTGGGTTCATTTCTGGGTTCTCTATTCTGTCCCATTGATCTATGTGTCTGTTTTTGTGCCAGTACCATACTGTCTTAATGACTACAGCTTTGTAATAGAGCTTGAAATCCAGAATCGTGATGCCTCCAGTCTTTTCTTTTTCAGAATTGTTTTGGCTATTTGGGGTCTTTTGTGGAACCATACCAATTCTAGAATTGTTTGTTCTAGCTCTGTGAAAAATGCTGGTGGTATTTTGACAGGAATTGCATAAAATGTGTAGATTGCTTTAGGTACTATAGACATTTTAACAATGTTTGTTCTTTCAATCCATGAGCATGGAACGCTTTTCCATTTCTTTGTGTCCTCTTCAATTTCTTTCATAAGTGATCTATAGTTTTCAGAGTACAGATCTTTTACCTATTAATTAGGTTTATGCCTAGGTATCTTATTGGTTTTGGTGCAATTGCAAATGGGACTGATTCCTTGCTATCTTTTCCTGCTGCTTCGTTATCGGTGTATAATGATGCAACAGATTTCTGCACATTGAGTTTATATCCTGCAACTTTGCTGAATTTATGTATTAGTTCTAACAATTTTTTGGTGGAGTCTTTCAGGTTTTCTACACAGAGTATCATGTCATCTGCAAATAGTTAAAGTTTGACTTCTTCCTTGCCAGTTTGGATGCCTTTTATTTCTTTTTGTTGTCTGATTGCTGAGGCTTTGACTTCCAGTACTATGTTTAAAAGTAATGGTGGGAGTGGACACGTTGTCTTCTTTCCGACCATAGGGGAAAGGCTCTTAGTTTTTCCCCAGTGAGGATGATATTAGTTGTGAGTCCTCCATATATGACCTTTATGATGTTGAGGTAAGTTCCCTCTATCCCTACTTTGTTGAGGGTTTTTATCAAGAAAGGATGCTGTATTTTGTCAAATATTTTTTCTGCATCTATTGACCGGATCATATTGTTCTCATCCTTTCTTTTGTTAATGTGGTGTATCACGTTGATTGATTTGTGAATATTGAACCACCCCTGCAGGCCAGGAATAAAGCCCACTTGATCATGGTGAATACTTCTTTTAATGTACTGTTGAATTCGATTTGCGAGATTTTATTGAGAATTTCTGCATCCATGTTCATCAGGGATATTGGTCTGTAATTCTCCTTTTAAGTGGGGTCTTTGTCTGGTTTTGGAGTCAAGGTAATGCTGGCTTCATAAAATGAGTTTGGAAGTTTTCCATTTCTATTTTTTGGAACAGTTCGAGAAGAATAGGTATTAACGCTTCTTTAAATGTCTGGTAGAATTCCCCTGGGAAGACATCGGGCCCAGGACTTTTGTTTATTGGGAGATTTTTGATTACTGATTCCATTTCTTTGCTGATTATCGGTCTGTTCAAATTTTCTATCTCTTCCTGTTTCAGTTTTGATAGTTCATAGGTTTCTAGGAATTTGCCTATTTCTTCCAGGTTGCCCAGTTTGCTGGCATATAATTTCTCATAGTATTCTCTTACAATTCTTTGTATTTCTGTGGTGTTGGTTGTGAACTCTCTCATTCGTGATTTATTTGGGTCCTTTCTCTTTTCTTTTTGATAAGGCTGGCTTGGGCTTTATCAATTTTATTAATTCTTTCAAAGAACTAGCTCTTAGTTTTGTTAATCAATTCTGGTGTTTTTGATTCTATATTGTTCATTTCTGTTCTAATCTTTATTTCCCCCTCTTCTCCTGGCTCTTGGCTTTATTTTCTGTTCCTTTTCTAGCTCCCTAGGCATAAGGTTAGGTTGTGTCTTTGAAACTTTTCCTGCTTCTTGAGGTAGGCCTGTATCGCAATATACTTCCCTCTTAGGACTGCCTTTGCAGCATTCCAAAGGTTTTGGACTGTTGTGTTTTCATTTTCATCTGCTTTCATGTATTTCTTTAGTTCTTCTTTAATTTCCTGGTTAACCCATTCATTAGGGGTTGTAGGATATTCTTTAGTAGGATATTCTCTAATTCCATGTATTTGAGGTCTTTCCAAATTTTTTGTTGTGGTTGACTTCAAGTTTCATAGTGTTGTGGTCTGAAAATAGGCATGGTATGATCTCGATCTTTTTGTACTTGTTGACGGCTGACTTGTGATCCAGTACGTTATCTATTCTAGAGAACATTCCATGTGCATTTGAAAAGAATGTGTATACTGGTGCTTTAGGATGAAATGTTCTGAATATACCTGTTAAGTCCATCTGGTCCAGTGTATCATTCAAAGCCATTGTTTCCTTATTGATTTTCTGCTTAGATTTTCTGCTGTGAGTTCAGTGTTAAAGTCCCCTACTATTATTGTATTATTATCAATGAGTTTCTTTATGGTTATTAGTAATCAATTTATATATTTGGGGTTGAGATATAAATATTTACAATTGTTAGATCTTCTTGATGGATAGACCCTTTAATTATGATACAATGCCCTTCTTCATCTTTTGTTACAGTCTTTGTTTTAAAATCTAGTTTGTCCAGGGGCACCTGGGTAACTTAGTCAGTTGTGTCCAACTCTTGATTTCAGCTCAGGTCATGATCTCAGGGTGGTGAAATCAAGCCCTGCATCAGGCTCTGTGCTCAGTGGGGAATCTGTTTGAGATTCTCTCCCTCTCCCTCTGCCCTTCCCCCGCTCTAAAAAAATAATAAAATCTTTTTAAAAATTAAATAAAAATAAAATCTAGTTTGTCTGATGTAAGTATGGCTACTCCGGCTTTCTTCTGATGTCCATTAGCATGGTAGATGGTTCTCCACCCCCTCACTTTCAATCCGTGGGTATCTTTAATAAAGTCTAAAATGAGTCTCTTGTGGGCAGCAAATAGATGGATCTTGTTTTTTCGTCCATTTTGATACCCTATGTCTTTTGACTGGAGCATTTACATTCAGAGTGATTACTGAAAGATATGAATTTAGTGCCATCATGTTACCATGGAGGTGGTGTTTCTGGTGATGTTCTCTGCTCCTTTCTAGTCTTTGTTGCTTTTGGTCTTTTTTTCTCCACTCAAAGAGACCCCTTAAAAATCTCTTGCAGGGCTGGTCACAAACTCCTTTAGTTTTTGTTTGTCTGGGAAATGATTTCTTTTTCTATTTTGAATGACAGCCTTGCTGGATAAAGAATTCTTGGCTGCCTATTTTTCCCATTCAGCACATTTGAGTATTTCATGCCACTCTCTTCTGGCCTGCCACATTTCTGTCGACAGATCTGCTCCTAACCTGATCTGACTTCCCTCATAAGTTAAGGGAAAAGTAGGTTAACTTTTTTTCCCTTGCTGCTTTCAAGATTCTTTCCTTGTCTGTGTATTTTGTGAATTAGGATTCTTTCCTTGCCTGTGTATTTTGTGAATTTGACTATGATACGCCTTGGCAATGGTCGGCTTTTGTAGAATTTAATGGGAATTCTCTGTGCTTATTGAATTTTGATGTCTGTGTCCCTCCCCAGATTAGAGACGTTTTCAGGTATAATTTGTTCAAATAAACCTTCTGGCCCTTTTTCTCTCTCTTCATCTTCTGGGACTCCTATGATACGAATTTTATTACATTTTAATAAGTTGCTGAGTTCCCTAAATCTACCTTCATGGTCCGTTACCCTTTCATTCCCTCTTCTTTTCAGCTTCATTATTTTCCACAATTTTATCTTCTATTATCACTGACTGATTCGCTCCTCTGCTTTGTCCATCCTCATTTGTATGGTCTCCATTTGGGATTGCATCTCAGTTACAGCATTTTTAATTTAATTTTGGCCTGACTAGATTTTAGTTCTTTTACCTCTGCAGTAAGGGATTCTCTAGTGCCTTCTATGGTTTTTTCAGGCCCAGCCAGTACCCTTATAATCATTGCTGTAAATTCACATTCAGAAATCTTACTTTTATCTGTATTGATTAAATCTCTGGCCTTTCTACTTCCTATTCTTTATTTTGGGAGGAATTTATCTGTCTCATCATTTTGTCCAGAAGAGAAAAGAAGAAAGAAGAAAAACAAAAACACAAAATAAAAGACAAAGAAAAAAAAAAAAAACAAGATCTTGGGTGTGTTTTGGTCTGCTTGTTAAAAGAATCCAGATTCCACCCCCCAAAAAAACCTGAAAATAAACAAAGAAATAAAAATATAAATATATAAAGTGTGTATATGTATATATATAAGAATTTTTTTAATTAATAAAAAATTTTAAAAGGGAACTGAAAAAAAGAAAATAAATGACAAAACAATAAAAAAGTCAAGAATAAAAGTAAAAAGGAAGCTAGATCCTATTTCCCCTAGAGCTGAAGCTTTGTAGTACTCTATGATCAGGAGACTTGGTTCAAGCGAGTTGTTTCTGCTGGTTTTCTGGGGGAGGAGCCTGCTGGGCTGATTCTCAGGCTGACTTATTTTAGTGGAAATGTGCCTCCAGGGTGCAGGGGGGGCAGAGTTTGGTGTAAGCGGCTCCAGCCTGCACTAGGTGGCGCTGTTTTGCTTCCTGAAGGCTTTCAGTGTCGATGGGAGAGATGAATACAGCGGGATATGGTGGCACTCCACTCTCTTACCCCAGAGTTGAAAGTTCGGGCCCCCCACTCTTCAGTGAGCCCACACAGAAGAGCAATCAATCACCCTACTTGTGTCCCTGGTTTCCATCTAAAACCTGTGTTCACCTGCATATGTCTGAGCTTTTTTATCTCAGGTGAGTGACGGAGTTTCAAAAGTCCAAATTTGGGGATTCCTGCGACATGAATGGGCGCTGTTCCTCTGAGGGAGGGTCTCACTAAGCTTTTGCCATTTCCTGGCTGGTCCCAGGAAAGTGGTCACACGACCTCACAGCGGTTCACAGTTTATGGCAAAATAGAGCAGAAAGCAGGCACCAAGACCCACTGCTATCAGCCAGCTTCCTGGGAACACTGCAGTAGGATAGCACCACCTGTTCTTGTGATCCAGGGGATCCTCAGACCATGCTGTGACTCCTGGGATTCTGCCCTCCTTCACCACCTGAGCACCTTTAAGCCAGGCACGTTCCCCACAGTAGCAGACTTCTAAAAGTTCAGATTTTGTGCTCTGCTGTTTATAATACTTTGCAGTAGCCTCTGTAAGTAAGCAGGCTCCCTCCCCACTGCCATATCCATAGATTTAACTCCCCCACATCAACTCTCTGCACCTCCTACCTTCCAAAAGGTGGTCACTTTTCTACTTGTAGACTTGCAGTTTTTGTTCTCTCAGACCCCCAATTGATTTCTTGGGTGTTCAGAATGATTTGATAACTAGCTGTGTTCGAGGGACAAGACAAGCTTAGGGTCCTCCTAGTCCTCTGCCATCTTAACTCCTCTTTCTACACATAAACCTTTGACCACATTTCTATTTTTTTCCTTCACAGTGAAATTTTGAGCCTAAAAGTCTAGACATTATAAGGGCTCTTGATATATCTATAGGTTTATGGCTAAATGTGATGTGGCCAAAAGCAAACTGGTCAACACAATCACATGACTGAACAGCAATTTTGCTGAACAAGTCTACTGTTAGTCATTGGTTTTTCTAGTCTTGGTAATTTTTCTACACCACAGGGCAGTTTTTCAACTAGTCACATGGTCTAAATGTTGTTTTTTTCCCCCCATTTAACCCCCAATTGTTAGGAAGTTAACACATTCCAACAAATCACCTATTGTTGCATATTTAGATGTTTTTCTCCAATACACCCTTGTCACAAATATAGAACTGAAGGATTAATTTCTGGAGGGAAAAAAGGAAAGGAAAAGAAAAAAGTATCCGAAAAATCTCTGAAAAAATAGACAAAAAGAAAAAATAAGGAAAAAAGCTTAATCTACAAAAAAGTTTAAAGGCACCACCTCCATAGTACAAACACCAATATCTGAACAACCAGGGTCTAGCAGCCCTTATTTTTGAACAAAAAATCATTTTGACCAATTCTTATAGTAACTGAATTGCTTTTCATCCAAATTGTTTCTTTGTCAAATCACTTGGTAACTACCTCTAAAAAGTGCCCATTTCATCAAAATGTTGACTATCATATATATTTTTAATTTTAGCTAACTTAAGAAACAGAAATTGTTATCTCCTTGCTCTTTTGATGTTGCTATACCTTTGGGTGATATTACTATTAAGTATTATTAATATAAGAATAACAATAGCGGGGTGCCTGGGTGGCTCAGTCAGTGAAGCGTCTACCTTTGGCTCAGGTCATGATCCCAGAGCCCGCTTCTCTCTCTCCCTCTGCCGCTCCCCCTGCTTGTGCACGCTTGCTCTCTCTCTCTCTGTCAAATAAATAAAATCTTTAAAAAAGAATAACAATAGCTAAATATGTAAGGGCTTAGTATGTACCAGGCACTATTCTAGCTGCTTCTTATGTATTAATTAGGCCATCTGTATATCCCATCTTATAAAATATCTGCTCATTACCTAGTTAAGTTTTCACTCATTTATTAATTAGTTCCCTCATTTAAAGAATACTGATTGAGAGCATGTAGTGTGTTACTCATTGGATATGTATATTGTTGAATAACAGATCTGCTCAGCCTTTGCGGCGTTTCCTTTCTAGTGAGGAAGACAATGTAACAAATTAAATATAAAATTACACATGCTATAATAGAAATAAATAGGGTGTAGAGAGAGAAAATCAGGGGAGCAATGGAAGGCCTTGAATGAACAGAATTGAGGGTAAAAGGTTTCTGGTCAGAGAAAGGAGTACAGCCTGTGCAAAGGCCTTAAGGCAGTAAGAGGAGAGTGATATGCAGACACAGAGACGGCTGCAGAGAATGGTATGGGATGAGTTCAGAGAGTCAGAAAAGACCCGGTCAAGTGCAGGCCATTGTAAGATATCTGGGATTTCTTTAAAAATACAACAGAAAAAAAAAAAGTACAACAGGAACACACTGATCCAATTTTTATCTTAGACAGATATCTTGAGCCACAATTTGGAGAACTGGAAGGGAGTAAGAACAGAAGAGAGGAGCCCCCTGAAGAGGCTGCTGCAGTGGGTCTGTCCAGCACTGGACAGGGGATGGGAGTAAGGTAGATAAATTTAAAATATATTTTAGGGATAGAGAGGTTTTGCTAACGGACTGGATGTGGGTTGGGGAGGAGAAGGAATAAGGACGACCACGTTTTTTCTTTGAGCAGTGAGTGCCATTCATTTATTAAGATGGAAAAGACTGGAAGGGAAAGGAGTTTTCACTGGTTTGTTGTCAAGACATGTGGGAGTAGGAGGAACAAGAATTCAACTTCTACTATTTTAAATGTGACAGGCCTGGGAACATGAAAAAGGAGATGCCAAGAAGGTGGTTGAATAAATGAGTACACAGAGCTCAGAGGTAAGGCTTGCACTGTGAGTATCAGTGTGGGAGTCGTAAGACTATAAATGGCATCTACGTCCATGGGATGGACAAGATCACTTAGGGAGAGGATGTTCGATGAGAGAGAACTCAGGACTGAGATCCAGGGAACTTGAGCATGTAGGGGTCTGACAGAGAAAAGGGGACCTACCCGAGAAAGGAAACTGAAGGAGCAAGGTGCACCGGGAGACAAAAGGACCCATCATCTCAGAGACCAAGGAACGGAGAGGGGGTGTGGAGAAGGAGGAAGCAGTCAACCCATGTATAAAGGAAGAGTCAACGTGAAAAGAAAAGACGACCTCTGGGTTTGGCTACATGGAAGTCAGTGGTGACTCTAGGCATTGATGGGGCTGGACGCCAGGCTGAGAGCACTGAGGATGTTGGGAAGCCGACACAACACGTGCAGACAAATCTTCTGTGACTATGACTGAGTGGGAGCCGAGAATGAGGGGGTAAGGGGGCGTCAAGGGAGTTAGGTGCTTCTCTTTATCAATTTCTATGAAAGGCGTTTTTTTTTTTTTTTTAAATAAATTAAGGCTACTATGGGCAACTGGGTGGCTCAGTTCGTTAAGCGTCTGCCTTTGGCTCAGGTCATGATCCCAGAGTCCCAGGATCAAGCCCCATATCGGGCTCCCTGCTCGGGCAGGGAGTCTGCTTCTCCCTCTCCCACTCCCCCTGCTTATGTTCCCTCTCTCGCTGTGTCTCTGTCAAATAAATGAATAAAATCTTTTTAAAAATTAATTAATTAAGGCTATTAGACTTTAATAATATTTGCTGTAAAAATCTCCCAGTTTGTTTTTGGCTTTAATTTCATTTACAGCAGTTCTAACATGGGTCGAGCTATCAGTCTTTTCCTTCCGATGCTTTTAAACTTAGAGAGTCTTTCCCCATCCAAAGATCATGTGTCTCCCTACATTTTGCTAGTTCTCAATTTTTAACATTTAATTCTTTATGTTGAATTTATTTTGCTATGAGGTAGGAGATCATGAGCTAAACTGGTATCTTTTTATGAATGGTTAATCAATTGTCCCAGTTGCCTTATCTTTTCCTGATGATTATCTTCTTGGGTCTATTTCAGGTAGGTTCTCTTTCTGTCAATCACAAGGAAGAGACTTAATGAAGAAAACTTCACTAACTAGCTCAGGAGCCCCAACTAACAGAGGAAGATCTATTCCATAAGGGGTTCTTGGCATGATCTAGTACACTTCCCATCGGGCTTTCCAATCTCCTCGTCCTACTCTCATGGTCTGCTGGGCTTTGCACAGA